AGCCACTGTAAATAATAAGGGTATTCATCAAACCTTATAAATGCATTGTAAACCGTATAAACTTATAATTGTGTAAACCTTATAAATGAACTGTCTAAATTTGTATGGAAACTCGTTTACACATTTCTGATAAATTTCTCCAGCGATTTCACTGAATAAACTTGATAAACTGAAGTCAATACAACTCCGTCGCAACTCTAGCTATGTTTTCTTAGGTAATAATCGAGATCCGCATAAAAATTTTGCACGCAAATTCAACAACAACGTTGTGATCCTGACGGAGATCTGGTTCAATTATTATACGTTCTGTTTGTTTTGTTTCACTGATAATTTGGCCGCAAAGATTGGTAGCTGTGACAAATGAATTCATACACAAACAGACATTCTGCCATTGTTTCTTCTAACTTTCTTCAAATTAATAGCCTTTATGTTATATATATATATTTATTTAAATACATATTATCTCGTAAATATAATTTTTTCACATTTAGTGAGTTAGTTTCTATAAAATCTTTATACTCGTGCTAGTAGTATAAAGTTAGTGATACTGAGCTCTATAACCAAAGAAAACACGACTATTTTTGCGTGTGTAAACGAAAAGAGAGTGTGGGTCGTTCATGTAACAGAGTGCGTAAACTTATAAGATTATCTGCTTGATAAAGTTATCGGTTTAGATGAATACCACTAATATACTTTGGCGCATATTCATAGTCATTTTTAGTACTAAACTAAGTCAAAACTATTCTAAGTCACAACTAACCGCCCTATTCCCACAACACTGACAAAATTCATCATATGACTATTGTCACAATTACTGCGCCTAAAACACAATATAAAAATTGTTTCGCCGTTGTCACTTACTCAGTAGGTCATAACAATAAAACTGACAATTGTCATACGACAGCTTAAAATAAATTTGCGGCATAGTATTAGGCGCAGTAGTAAAGGCAATAGTCAGCCGCTGAGTTTTGTCAGTGGTGTGGGAATAGGGCGGTAAAGCTATTCATAGTCGCCTTAGTTTCGACTTTTCTGGCTAAGTACCAACTTAAAATTTAGTTTCGGCTGCAGCTGCAACTAAGTCAAAACTAGGAAGAAGTATTTTATCAAATTAAGGGAAAACAGACAAAATATGTAAAAATTAAGTTGGTAGAGGGTGATTTTGATAATATTGAATAATCTCCAATTAAAATTTACAAAGATCGATCCATTTTATTCGGAACAATTCGAATAAAGCTAAATCACAAATTTATAATTGGAATAGTTTAGATAAATTCTCAAATAATAAGTCAGTTTCACGCTAGTTCTTTTAAAGTAAATTTGTGCATAACATTTAGATATCTACTATTTGTATGTTTCACAGCATGCTTTCGATAAACATCGACTCCACATCACTGCGGTTGTTCTGGCTATTTCACACCTTATTCTTTTGCATAATCATGCAATGAAAATAAAAATTACATAAACGGATGATCAAACTTGACATTATTTAATAAAAATTTAATTTTTCCAAAATATCGTAAAGAAAAATCTATACATTTTCACACTTATTTTGCTATATCGTAAACTAAGTCGAAACTAGTTAGTAAACGTCTGAAATGCAACTATGAATAGAGGTAAATTTAAAGTTGGTACTTAAATTTAAGTTGCAACTTTGTTAGTTTCGACTTAGTTGCTGGACTATGAATACGCGCCTTTATCATTAGTTGCGATCCCGTACCAGTCCGGACTAGTCAGATATATACGCCATGATACACTTTGACTTTTATTACCGCCAACAACTTTAAGTGTATACATATTTACAAGCTGTCAAAATTTAGCGTAGTCCCACGAGCTAGGTAAAAATTATGGCGTTCGTATTCACAACGAGCAATCAAAAGAAAAGTGCGCTCTGCTAAATCATGTGAAAAGTATTTAATTACTTGTTTAAGTGGATTCTAATCAATTTGCAAACATTTACAACCAAAATTTGGAGGTTATGTTGCATTTGTGCAAATAAGTAATGTCGCAAAACTCATAAACTTCAATGGACAATATCTCAGGTTAGATGAAGATATCTCGTTGAGTTAAACAGCGTTATTAAGGGGAAATATTTTACTTTCAAATGGTTTATTAAATTTTCTAAAAAAGGAACTATTCTTGATGAAAATAAATTACGAATATAGCAAAAAGTCGGGGTTTTCGCATGTGTAGGCTCAAATATCTCAAAAACCTGAGCCAATCGAGCAAAACTGATTCTGGATTCAGATTCAGCGCAACAAAAACCATTAGAAAAGTGTAAGCTAGTCCCAGGGTCTGAACTATTTTAAATTTTGTAGGCCTGTGTTATAAAGCAAACGTCAAAGCAGTGAAGTTGTGATTTTTTGTGCTATAGCCCAATAAACACCAAAAAAATATTTCTCCGACCTTGGAGAAATTCATAGTTCTCAAATTGATATTCAACATCATTATCTAACTCATCTCTAACCGACGCGCAGGGGCTCTATGGGCCAATTTCACAGTGCGTAGTTAACTCAGAATCGGCAGTTAACTAGAGATTTTCAGTACAAAAATCTGTAGTTAACTGCCGATTCTGAGTTAACTACGCATTGTGAAATTGGCCCTATTAGGTTCATTCCTTATAATTTTGGACTAAAATCTGAAAAGTGTCAAAATACCAGAGCGTAAGCAAAATGCCCTCACTAAAAGAGGATAACAGGTAAAGTAAAGAAACGCAAAAAACCAAATTTTTAGTCCAAAGAATGGCAACAACAAAACTAACGTCAAATAAGAATGGAAATATATGTACAAAACACCTTCACACAAGCACAAGCACAATAAACACTTACTATATCAATTATCTTTTGCCTCCTTCCAATTTCAATTCACTTTTTTTAATTTTGAGCAGGGTTCGTATTTGCACACACATGCGCAGCACATCCTAACATTTTACGCTCACACACGTGTGCTGTGCATATAAAAAATTAAAAACTTGCTCACATCACATGTGTGTGCCGTTTGGTAAAAAGCACGGGCACATGTGTGTACTTTATTTTTATTAATATAAGGCACACGCACATGTGCGTGCTTTGCGTAGAGAAACTTATACACTTCGATTTCTAACTCAAATCTTAAAATAATTTTTTAATATGTTTTCTGTAATGTAAAAAACAAACAACATCTCACTTTTTATCGAATTGTCTTTCAAAACTGTGAGAAAATGTAGTATACACCGAGTGCAAAACTCACAACCAAAAACTCACCGACTAAAATTCAGTGAGTTTTTCGCAAGTGAAGTGTACACAATTTTGACAGTTAAAATTCATTCTCACACATGATGAATCGCAAAATGAGGAAGTGTACACAATTTCGACAGCTAAAACTCATTCTCACTCTTCCTGAATCGCAAAATGAAGAGTGCACACAATTTTCAGTGTACACTTGAAAACTCACAGTTACAGAATAGAGACCCAGATACGCAAAAAGTGATAGAGAAACAAATTTTTAATTATCAAGTGAAAAACCACAGTATATACAGTAATAAACCTTTTCGCAGTTTTTCACCACTTGATCCGCGAGGAGTACTTTGGGGTTATGTGAAGCGTTTTCGTTTTGTGCGCACGGCAACACCTACTGTGGAGAATTTCGCCTGATGATTAGAAAAAGGTCTTCTCGAGGATAAAATTTATATAATAGTGTTATTTATGAACAAAATGTAGGTCAAGTATAGTATCAATGCTTAATTAAGAATAATGCATGTCGTCTTCACATATGCATTATTTCGGTTTTTGTCCGAAACTGTGCATGTATGCATTACTGGGCATGTATGCTTTATTTCGGTTTTTGCCATATGCATTATTTCGGTTTCCAACCGAAACTGTTGATTTGCTTGACCTTAGTTTTTCGGTCCAAACAGGAATCTTTATTTACGGTTGATGGATAGCCCGTTTTCATAGTGGCCATGTCAATTCGTGTCTATACTGATATAATGGTTCGTGTCTTGAATAACTATTGGTTACGTACATTCATCTGGCAATCCCCCCATTTTGAAGTTTAGCTTTGACAGTTTTGTTATGTTTACATTTCTCATAATCGTTCTTATGTCTATTATTTGGCCAATAAAAATAATAGATCACTGTGTATGTATGCATTACTTCGTTTTTTTTTCATATGCATTATTTCGCTTTTAAAACGAAAGTATGCATATGCATAATTTCGGTATTTTCTCATATGCATTAGTGGTATTCACCTAAACCGATAACTTTATCAAGCAGATAATCTTATAAGTTTACATACTCTGTTACATGAACGACCCACACTCTCCTTTCCTTTACACATGCGACAATAGTCGTGTTTTCTTTGGTTACAGAGCTCAATATCACTAACTTTATACTACTAGCACGGGGATAAAGAAATTATAGAAACTACATCATTAAATTGGAAAAAATTATATTTACGACATAATATCTATTTAAATAAATATACATATAACATAAAGGCGATTAATTTGAACCAAGTTAGAAGAAACAATGGCAGAATGTCTGTTTGTGTATGAATTCATTTGTCACGGCTACCAAAACTTTGCGGCAAAATTATCAATGAAACAAAACAAACAGACGGGGTAATAATTGAACCAGATCTATATCAGGATCATATCGTTGTTGTTGAATTTGCGTGCAAAATTTGTATGCGGACCCCGATTATTGCCCAAGAAAACATAGCTAGAGTTGCGACAGAGTTGTATTGGCTTCAGTTTATCAAGTTTATTCAGTGAAATCGCTGGATAAATTTATCAGAAATGTGCAAACGACAGTTCATTTATATATATTATCAGCCCAATTCTGTGCACTTGATAAATTGAAAATCTTTATAATTTGTAAACTTTTTATTATTTATCAAGAATTGGTATTCTAGCACAGAAATCAAAAGCTCTTTTCTTGATAAATTATCAAGATTGAAAATGCTATTGACAAATTGAAATTTCATGTGAATTGTATAAGTTTTGTATCTTAATAAATTTGTTTCTAACAATTAAATACTCCATGTGCCGGCATTTGAACCTACGACACACGGAATTATAGTCGACATCTCTACCTACTCGGCTACGGCAGTCAAAAGCTTTTT